GGAATTGGGGGAAGGGGAACAGACAAGTTGCTGTCCTTTTGTTCTTCAGTCTAGTTGTGGAGGACGTTGCTTCACTGGCCCAAGTTGGTACCATCGTTGCACTCTTCCCGGATGAGGCAGATTAGCCGCTGGCTTCTGGACTGCTGTTCATGGTTGCTGCTGGCCGCTCATGCTGGCTGCTGGCTACACACGGTAGCCCATAGCAACCCACTACAGCAGGGGCTGCAGCCTATGCCATCGACGGCGACTCATGGCAGCCCAGCTCCAGGTTTAGCTGTTGTTCAGCATCTTAGCTATGGAGGGCAGTGTCACTGGCCCTCATATGTGGGATCTGAACCAGGTTCCCCTGGCGTCCCAAATTAGCTCTTAACCAGCGCGCCACTCGGCCGGCCCAATAATGTAACATTTTTAAATTTAAAGAAATTTAAGTGAATTTTTTGACTAATGACTCATCTTTCTCAGTTGTTTTAGCAAAAATTGACTCACTTATTTCTCATCTAACTAGCAGTTATAAATAGATCACATATTTTCATTCTACCTTCATTGCCTGAAATATCCCAACACCTCTTGTTAACTCTCTGGTAGAAGAGATTGAAACAAATTTGTCAAACACATTTTCTCTTCTTCCTGAGTATCCAGCTAGACTGCATTTCCCAGCTTTACGCATCTTTATATCTTGCCAGTATCTTGGACATAGTATTCATTTAAATCTTTGAATGACTGAATCTTCTGTTAACATAAGTGTTCTAAACCAAAATAAACATTTGAATAACAAACTTTACAGTATGTGCCTTTTAGAGTAGTTTACCATGAACTGTGTCTTACAGTGACTAAACTGTACCTTGTTATGTCTTTTGTAACCTCTAATTCAAGATGTGAGCTGTGATCAGACTCTAAAGCACTCTTCATAGAACAGTCCTAATTTTTCAACTTAGTGTGTAAAGCAGTATATAATATGACATTTAAAGAAGGAAAAGAAGAGTACTAGTAGAATATCACAAAACACACACACACACAAAATAACAACAAAAATGTTGCAGAATATCTAGTACATTTTTTTAAATCCCAAAGTTATTTTTTCTTCATATTTTGACCTATTCCTTCTTTTACTACGTTTTACTTACTTCTATTATCTGCAGCTTCCGTTCTGGTATTTATATGGCTTGAAATTTTACCGGTAGGTTTTAGACTCTTCTGGGTTTGTGTTGCCCTTGACTCCATTTTCAGAGGAAGTAGAATGAGCTGCTGCTGGGGGACCAGTGCAGTGACAATGTTCCTTTTGTGTGGCAGGGGAGCTGATGAATAAGAAGAAAGTTATGGACTGACCATTTTCCATATTAATTTTTTTTTTAATTAGGGAATTGGGGGGGTGGGAACAGCGCTGGGGAATTGGGGGAAGGGGAACAGACAAGTTGCTGTC